ATACGGCATAGTGGGTGGGGTGGGGGGAGTTCGAATAGTCTAGGCGGATTCAGAATTTAAAATTTATAGATTTCGGTAAAACAATCTCAAGTTGATATGTGATAATAATAGATTTACTAAATCAAATATTTAGTGGATTTTTCAATATATAAAGACCTAGGCAAAAGTAATTGAATTTTCGTAAATCTGTACATTGTAATCTAGATCCACCGCCACCGGGGGAAACATACCTCCATGCAAATACAGACAAAGTTAGAGTTTTAATTTGATGAGTTCGACTTTTATGATTTTAAGTATCAGATTTGATTAACTTTTCATTAAAAAATTTGTAGAAATAAAATATAAATTAGAATAATATTTACATCTTACATTTGTTCACTATATCGAAAATAAATATTTAATTTTACATGATAATTTTATTACTTGTTCACTTTTTTTCCCCTTAATGTCGAGGTACAAGGATTAGACCATTAAGCTATTCGGAGAAACTAATGTATATTCCTTAGCATCCTTTGATTATTCTTTTCTTGTAAGTTTTGACATTTGACTAATTTCCTAAATTTAGAACCTAGTTCTAATTTAAGATTCTTTTTCTTGTGAAAGATTATATTATTGTCCACAGGGAATATTAATGGGTCAGTCAATTCAAATTAATTAGGAAAATTTACCTAAGTGCTATTAGTTTAGGAGTTAATTATTTAGATATATTTTATTTTGTAATATTACGTGTATCTTAACATATTTTGGTGACTCGAAATGCATGTATCTCGGATACATGGGTTAAATTTAGATGTAATTTGTGTTAGATACATTGTATCTAAGTGGATTCGCATGTATCTGGATACATAACAAAATCTCGCTTGCCTTTCTCGCCTCTCTTCCATCTCGCTCGCCACTCTCCCATGTATACGATATCCCAGATACATGCGAATCACACCATACACATACAGATACTTGTATTTAGTGTGTATCTAGTGTGACTCACATGTATTTCAATACATACGAATCTCAATCGCCTCCCTCTCCAGTCTCGCTCGCCTCTTCTCCTATTTTCGTATATATGGTATCAAAAATAAGTGTATTTCTTCGATATATGATAGGAACCCCTTAATTAGTGGTAAGAGACATAATATTTTGAAAGTATAGATAATAATAGTATATATGGTAGTGAAGTATGTCTAATTATATAGTTTCATCAATTAATTATTACTCAATCTGTTCATTATATTAAAGATATTGTTTACTTTTACTTGTACTGATTGAAAAATCAAGTCAAAATTTATCACTTAATTCCTAATTCATTCTTAATAATTACTTTTCAAAGCATTTATTTATTGTATTCAAAAAGTAATATAGTAAAATTATCATTTTATTTGTAATGTCTTAAGAATTGTATTAATTCTATACGGGACAAGTAAAACTAGACAAAGGGAGTATATGTCAATTACCTTTACCCCATAATCACATGACAAAAATAGTCATGTACACCAATTTTGTTCTTAGACTTTCTGAAATAGTAAGTATTTATTTTCGTTAAGAATTGGACTAGATAAAAATATTCTCTTTGTTACCAAAGACGACTAGATTTGTCCTTCATTAATATGTATTAAATATATCATCGACATTATTAAAATGAACTAGATCTACCTTTATTTTCAAATTGTGAAAGCGTAGCTCTCCATAATACAATGGTGAGTCTCCCAATCAAGTCAATGTGGTACCATCATATTTTCTCCGCTTCAAAATTTCTCTTTAACTTGAGTATTTATCGAAAACAATTTTTCTGACGTTACAACGATATAATTAATTAGAATAGTAATACATAACACACTTAAAAGTCAAAAAGTAAACATTGATGTTTTGGCCAACCTCAATATAGATGCACTTTTTTGTTGTAACATGAAAAAACACCTATAGGCCCTAAACTTTGGTGATGTGAACTCTGAAATAAATA